CCCACAGCTATCCAACACACAGCCCACCAAGATGCCCCCTAATGGCTTTTTAAGATGTTCCACAGCTATCTTGAAGACCACCAAGATTCAACAGAATGGCTTTGAAGCCCACCAAGATGCCCCACAACAACTCTGAAGACCACCAAGATGTTCCACATCTACCTTGAACCCCACCCAGATGCCATGTGGTGATCTTGAAACCCAACCCAGTGTCCCACCGTGACCTTGAAACCCAACCCAGTGTCCCACCGTGACCTTGAAACCCAACCCAGTGTCCCACCGTGACCTTGAAACCCAACCCAGTGTCCCACTGTGACCTTGAAACCCAACCCAGTGTCCCACCGTGACCTTGAAACCCAACCCAGTGTCCCACCGTGACCTCGGAACCTCTCAGGACACCACACCAGGACCTCCCATCCCACCTGACGACCTCCTCTCCTTCCCCAACTCCCCATATACCTTGAGCTTCTGGGGGTGCTCCCTGCTGAGGCTGAGGCTGATGTTGTAGACACTCAGGGTGACCTCCTTGGTGAAGGACACCGCCCGGCTGCCCCGGTGGTCGTTCTCCACGGTGACGTTGAAGGGGACAAGCCCGGGGGGGTGGGGGGAGCAGAGAGCAGCCAACTGGTAGACACAGCTCCCCATGAAGTCGAAGCGGTGCCCGTCGAAGGTGGTGTAGTGGGGGTCCCCACTGGCCACGCAGACCAAGTGCTTGGTGGCCACGCATCTCCTGGTCCCTTCCACCAGGAGACACTTCTCCCCATCCCGACACTTCCCAGGTTGGCAGAGGACGATGCCCAACGTGGGGTCGCAGCGGCAGCGGCGCTGACACGTCGTGTCCCCCCAGAACTCTTGGCCCGGGGGGTGGTAGCGACCGTCGTGGGTGCAGCCACACTGGGCCAGGGCCACGCAGAGGCCGCCGCTGAGGACGTGGCCGGGGTCACAGGCACAGGTCTCCAGGCAGGGGTGGGGACACGTGGCCGGAGCTTCAGGATCAGAGCAGGTGGCGGGACAAGCAGAGCCACAGGGTTCGTAGTGACTGTTGGGGGGGCAGGGCAGGGCTGGGGGGGAGGAGGGGGTCAGACACCACATGACCTTGTCCCATGACCTTCACCTATGACCACACCCCATGGCCTCCCACCGTGACATTGTCCCGTGATCTCACTCCATAACTTCCCCCATGACCTCCTCCGTGACCTCTCTCCATGACCTTCCCCCATGACCTCCCACCATGACATTGTCCCATGACTTCACCCCATGACCTCCCCCCATGACCTTTTGCCATGACTTCACCCCATGACCTCCCCCCATGACCTTGGAATCCTTCCTCCTGGATCATCCCCAAGATGGATCTCACCCCACATCCCCCCCATTCCTCCAGCCCTTCCCACCCCTTCCCCCAAACCCCCTTTTTTCACCCCGAAACCCTTTCCCCTCCCCCCAGCTTACGACATTTGGCCGGGGTCCTCCAGTCCTCCACGGCGGCCCCGCTTCTCCTGCAGGTGACAGCGTAGGAGTCCAGCACCTGGCACAGGACCTGCTGTGCCCCCCCACTCATGCAGACGTCATAGAGGCAGTTCCGGTAGAAGTCCCTTGGGTTGATGATGTCATGACAAGCCCGGAAAGGCCCTTGGAACCTTTTCTTAAGGAGGCCACAGTACTGGTTGCCACCATAAAGCTCTTTCTTATCCTCGGGGCAAACGGGGCAAGAACCTTCGCAGTGATCCCAACAAAAAGGGTCGTCGTCATCGTCGCTTGAGGTTCTCCAGGTGCTGGCCCAGGCCACCAAAGTGGGGACATCCTGGCCGGGGACGTCGTCGTGAGGACGGAGGTTGAAGTCGCCGCAGAGGCCGCGGACGTGGCGGTGGTAGGAGCTGGGCAGGTCCAGCAGGAGGTGCCAGCGCCAGTCGTAGGTGACGCGGAGCCCGAACGGCGCCTCCAGCACCGCGCGGCCCCCGCGCTGCAGCCCCCGCAGCCGCCCCCCGGCCAGGGCCACGGGCAGCAGGGCCACCTCCCCGTCCACCTGCAGGACATGGAGGGGGACACCCACACCAGGGGTCAGTGGAGGAAGAAGGGGGGGACCCGCCCAGGGTGTGGTGGGTGTTGGGGGGGCTACCAGAGGGTGCAAACCTACCCAGGTGGCCACCCAATCCAGCCCGAGGGTTTGCCCACCCTGCTTTGAGGTCCCTTGGAGACCACCTGAAGGCATCTTTGGGCTTCCCCAAGGGGCAGGAACTACCCTCTGAAGGGGCTGGCCACCCTCCACCCCCCATGGGGTTGTCCCCCTTGCTTTGAGGTCCTTTGGAGACCACCTGAAGGCATCTTGGGGGAGTCTGGGCTTCTCCAAGGGGCAGGAACCACATCCTGCAGGGTGCAAACCCTCGCAGGTGGCCACCGACCAGCCCCCATGGGGTTGTCCCCTCAGCTCTGAGATCACTTGGAGACCTTGGAGACCACCTGAAGGCACCTCTGGGCTTCTCTAAGGGACAGGAACCACCCCCTGCAGGGTGCAACCCCCCCAGATGTCCCCTACAACCCACCAGGGGGGTTGTCCCCCTTGCTCTGAGGCTCTTTGGAGACCACCTGAAGGCATCTTGGGCGGGTTTGGGCTTCCAAAACGTTTGGGAGGAGATGGAGGAATGAGAGGAGGTTGGTGGAAAACACGGTGGGGAAAGCCCTGGTTTTCCCTCCAACTCACCCGGATTTTTCCCACTTCCCCCTGGTGGATGGAGACCTGGTGGCCATAGACCTTGACCTTGACCAAGCTGATGTAGGAGATGGACTTCACCCCATCCTGGATGGAGTTCTTGGCCTCCACCTTGAAGGGCTCCAAGGTGGTGTCGTTCCCATAGGACTCAGCCATGGTGTAGGTGCAGGTGCCTTCAAAGTCAAAGTCCAGCCCATCGAAGGTGTGGTAGTGAGGGTCCCCCCACGCCCAGCAGGTGGCAACCAGGGATGGGACACACTTGGCTTGGCCATCCTTCAGGTGGCACCTCTCCTTGGAGCGGCAGCCGAGGGCTTTGCAGGGGTCTGGAAGGAGGAGAAGCCATGGGAGGAATCGTGGGAGAACCCATGGGAAAAATTGTGGGAGAAACCATGGGAGGAACCACAGGAGAACCCACGGGAGAAGCCATGGGAGAAACCCATGGAAGAAACCACAAGAGAATCCATGGAAGAACCACTGGGAGAACCCAAGGGAGGAACCATGGGAGAAACTGCTGGAGAAGCCATGGGAGAACCTATGGGAGGAACCACTGCAGAACCCACGGGAGAACCCATGAGGGAAACCACTGAAGAACCATGGGAGAACCCACTGGAGAACCTATGGGGGAAACCATGGGAGGAACCACTGGAGAACCCATGGGAGAACCTATAGGAGGACCCACGGGGGTGCCCTGGTGAGGAGCACCAGGCTCTGCTCCCACCCCCGGGAGGTGTTTCTGGGGGGTCCCCTGTCCTGGGGCGCCCCCGGGTGGTCTCACCGTTGTTGACGCAGCTCCTGACGCCGTCGATGACGTCACAGGTCTCGTCGGCGGTGGGGCGGGGGGGGCAGCAGCGGTTAGTGGGGGTCTCAGGACTAACAGGAATAATAGTAACAACAGCACTTATATAATATAAATATTATATCATTATATCTCGTATATCATTATATATACTAACATATACAATATTACTATTAACGTATATTAATTATATTAATACTTAATATAGTAATTGTATAACTATATAACTAAAATAATAGTAATATAATTATATCAATAATTAATCCAATTGGTCAACTATATTAACATTAATTATACTTTAATATTAAAATAATTTATACATTATATATTTATCTATTTATGTAAATTGAAACATAATATAAATTAATATCAAATTTCATACAGTGGTATTATATAATATTGTAATATGGCATATAGTGTTGATATTTATTATCTATTACAAGACACATTTTTAAAAATTATATACAATATATTATCGCTAATTATACTAATAATTCATAAATAATAGTACTGGATAGTAAATGCTTAGTAATTATTATTTTATTGTTAATAATTTTAATATTAATAAAATTAATAATTAAAACAAATGGAAGCAGCCCCAGGTCCCCCCCCAAAAAAAACAAATTTGAGGATTTTGAGGTTGGTTGTTTTGGTTTTATTCAGACCTTCAGATACCAAATGGTGGGAAAGCCCCAAATGGCCCCAAAATGGCCCCCAAGTGTCGGAGGGAGGTACCTGGTAGTAGGTCCCGTTCTGGAAGCAGCCGCACTGGCCCCGCGGGACGCAGCCGTGGGTGGTGAAGAAGGTCCCCGGGGGGCACTGGCAGCCCTCCAGGCAGGTCTGGGGACACGTGGTGGCATCTGCCAGGCTTGGGCAGGTCCTGGAGCAGTGGTTGGTGCAGAGGGTGTAGGTGCTGTTGGGGGGGCAGGGCAAGGCTGGAGGAGACAGGGGGAGGAGGAGTTGGGTGGGAGGAACTCCAGGAGGTGGGGGAAGAGGAGAAGGTGTTGGGTGGGACCAGGGTTGGACCTCCCAGTGGGTGAAGAGCCAACCAGTTGGGTGTTGGGGACCAGAAAGCCAATGGTGTCCTGGGTGTGTCACCAGCAGCATGACCAGAAGGTCACAGGAGGGGATTGTCCCTCTTTGCTCTGGTGAGACCCTGCCCTGGAGAACTGGGACCAGTTCTGGGGGCCCCAGCACAAGAAGATGGAGGTGACAGAGCAGGTCAAGAGGAGGCCATGGAGGTGACCCAAGGGCTGGAGCAGCCCTGATCTAGAGACAGGCTGGGAGAGTTGGGGTGTTTGGAGAAGACAAGGCTCCAGGGAGACCTTGGAGAACCTTCCACCACCTCAAGTACCTTCAAATACCTCCAGGAGGTACCTCGAGCACCTGAAGTACCTTCAGATACCTCCTGTAGGAACAATCTGGTCTAGTGGGAGGTGTCTCTTCCCATCCAGGTGGTGGCCTTGAAGATGGCCTTGAAGGCCCCTCCAACCCAAACCATTCCATGATCCCATGATTCTATGATCTCCACTCACGGCAGAAGGATGGTCTTCTCCAAGCCTTGATGACCACCCCGGCGTGCTGGCAGGCGGTGGCGTAGCTCTGGATGCTCCTGCAGAGGACCTGGGTGTCCCCTTCAGCCAGACAGAGGTCATGGACACAGGATTGGAAGTAGAAGTTGGGGTCAATGAGGTGGTGGCAGGAGCTGAAGGGACCATCGGGGACCTTGAGAAGGCCACAGTAGTTGGGTGTCTGGAGGGCCACCACCTTCTCCTCTGTGCAGGTGGGACAGGTGGCCTTGGGACAGTCTTCACTGCAAGGGACATCAGTTGTTCTCCAGGCAGAGCTGAAGGCCACCATGTTGGGGGCCTCTTGGCCACCAGGGAGGAGGAGATCATCGTCGCGTTGCCCGTTGTAGTTGCCGCAGAGGCCACAGAGGTGGCCCTGGAAGGTCTGGGGGACGGTGACCATCACGTGCTGGAGAAGGTCATAGAGGATGACGAGGCCAAAGTCGGTCTGGAGCAGGACACCCATCCCATGGTGGTGTACCTGGACACGCCCCTCGCTCAGGATGGCCGGGAGGTTGTGGGAGATGGAGTCCACCTGCGGGAGAAACCCTCCAATGCGCTTCAAGGATGCTATGAGGAGACCTTGGAGGTTCCAACCATGGAGGTTGGAAGGTCTAACCTTCAGATACCTCCAGGAAATACCTCCAGCACCTCAAGTACCTTCAGATACTTCCAGTAGGTTCCTCCAGAACCTCAAGTACCCTCAGATACCTCAGCAGATACCTCTGGTACCTGAAGTACCTTCAGATACCTCCAGGAGGTACCTCCAACACCTGAAGTACCTTCAACTTGGTCAACTTGTTGACTAATTGGTAGTCCCAGTTTGAAGGTGGAAGGCAAACTGGGGATGGGCATGGCTTTGTCTTGGAGATGAGGGGGAGGTCTCTGGACCACCAAGCCCAGACCTGCTGTGGTGGTTCCCCTCCCACCTTGTGTCAAAGCCAACATGAGCTCATGGGCTTGGACAACCTACAAGGATGATCTAGATCATCTTTAAGGTCCCTTCCAACCCAAGCTATTCCATGATGATGGATCACCATGTGTGGACCTACCACAATCATGTTCCTCTTGCCTCATGAGCCCATAGACTTTGCCACCAGCATATCTGGACCCAGAGAGAGGTGGACCACAAAGTACCACCTTACCATGACAGCTCCTCTCTTGCCTTATGTCAAGGTCAACGTGAGCCTGTAGATATTTGCACTCAAAGAGCTGGACCACCAAGCCCAGACCTACCATGGTGGCTCCCCTCCCACCTTGTGTCAAGGACAACATGATCTCATGGGCCTGGACACCCTACAAGGATGATCTAGATCTTTAAGGTCCCTTCCAACCCAAACCATTCCATGATGGTGGACCACCACATGAGGACCTACTACAACTGTCCTTTTTGACTCATGGCAGAGTCAGTATGAGACTTTGCCACCAGCATGTCTGGACCCAGAGAGAGATTGGCCATGAAGTGCCACCTCACCATGACAGCTCCTCTCCTGCTTCGTGTGAAGGTCAACATGAGCCCGTAGACCTCAACGGACAAGGCTTGGATCCCAGAGACCTTCCTCTTCTGCCGTGGGTCCTTCTCAATGGTCACCACAAAGGAGTTGACATCCTCACCAGCACAGGTCTCCGTGAGGATGTAGGAGCAGGTGCCCGAGCTGTTGAAGGCCACCCCATCGAAGGACACGTAGCTGCGGTCACCGGTGGCCACACAGGTCCCGAGGGTGGCAGGTGGGCACTGGAAGACCCCATCAATGACTTCTCCTTCACCACCTCCAGGACACAGGGGTTTTTGGCAGTCCACCACACCGCCAGCCCGGCACTGACACTGCTCCTGCTTGCTGGGGTAGAAGGTCTCCTCCAGTTGGTAGTAGAAGCCCTGGTGGTGGCACCCGCAGAGGGACCTGGGGACACACTGGTCACCGCTGAGCACGAAGCCGCGGTCACAGGCGCAGCCCTCGCGGCACCGGCCCCAGCGCCGCGCCGGGACGGGAACACCAGGGCAGGTCTGGTCACAGTCCTGGTGGCAGAGCTCGTAGTGGCTGTTGGTGGGACACAAAACACCTGGCAGGAGACAAGGAGAAGAGTCAGGAGCTGGAGCTGGTGATTGGTGGGAAATGAGGGACTTGGGGCCCAGAATGGTTCAGGTTGGAAAAGACCTTTGAGGTCATTGCATCCAACCACTAACCCAACTCTACCAACCATAAACTCTACCAACCCTTAACCCAACTCTATAAACCATTAATCCAACTCTACCAACCATTAATTCTACCAACCCTTAACCTGACTCAACCAACCCATAACCCAGCTCAACCAGCCCTTAACTCTTCCATAACCCAATTCAACCAACCCAGAATCCAACTCAACTAACCCATAACCCAACACAACCAACTCATAACTCAACCAACCTCTGAGGAACAAAGATGGGGACTAAAAGAGTTTTGCTGCAGGAATCGCAACAAGAAGTGGGAGGTTTGGGGGTTTCCAATGATTTTTTGGGTTGGTTTTGGGTTTTTTTTTAAGACAAAACCCTCAAAGCCCCAAAACCTGAAGAAATGAGCCCAACTCACTGCAGAACTTCTCCGTCCTCCATGTCCCCACAGATACACCCTCAGCTTGGCAGGCGGCGACGTAGCGGGCGATGATGGGGCAGATCATGTCCTCCTGCTCTGGGAAGAGGCAAAGATCATGGAGGCAGCTTTGGAAGTAGCTCTTGGGGTCCACGTGGATGTGACAAGCTCCAAAAGGTCCATCCTCTTCCAGGATGATCCCACAACCCATCTCGGAGGCCTCCTGTTGGCGCTGAGCAGCCGCCATGGTGGGACATTCCACCTTGGACAGCTCCAGGCAGCCCGGGGGGGTCGTCACCCTCCAGCTGCGCCCCAAGGTGTCCGGATGTGACGTCACCCGCCCGTTCCTCGTCTTCATCTCATCATCTGCTTTGCCGTTGAAGTTGCCACAGAGGCCACACAAGGTGCTGGTGTAGGTGCTGGGCACCCTCACGGTCACTTGGCTCCTCCAATCATAGGTGAGAGTGAGGCCAAAGTCGGTCTCCACCACAGCTTCCAGCCCACCTCTGGAGATGGAGATCCTCCTGTCCTTGGCCTGGTATGGTAGGTTGGCCAACTGGTCGTTGACCTGGGGACACAAAAATAGATTTATAAAAAAGAATAAAATATCTATTTCTTGGACATTTTGGAACGTGGAGGATGTGAAGAGCATGGAGGTTGGATGGAGAAGTGGGACATGGAAGGTGGGGCAACAAGGAGAATGTGGAGAGCATAGAGGTCGGAGGGAGAAGTGGGATGTGGAGGTTGGGGTGAGGAGGACAACACAGAGAACATGAAGGGTGGATGGAGAAGTAGGACAAAGAGGTTGGGGCAAGGAGGAGAATGTGGAAAACATGGAAGTTGGATGGAGAAGTGGGACATGGAGGGTGGGGTGAGGAGAACAGGAGAGCATGGAGGTTGGATGGAGAAATGAGACAAGAAGGTCGGGGTTAGGAGAACATGGAGGTTTGATGGAGAAGTGGGACGTGGAGGTTGGAGTGAGGAGAATATGGAGAATGCGGAGGTTGGATGGAGAAGTGGGACATGGAGGTTGGGCCAAGGAGGAGAATCTGGAGGTCAGATGGAGAAATGTGACAAAGAGGTTGGGGTGAGGAGGACAATATGGAGAACATGGAGGTTGGATGGAGAACTGAACTCACCAGGACCTTGCCAGGGTTCTCCTGGCTAATCACAATAGTTTGACCATAGACTTTGACCATCACGACAGCTATAGAGGCCAGAAAATGCTTGTCCTGGTGCCCATTCTGCACCAACACCTGGAAGTCCACCAGGCCTCGGCTCTTCCTGCACAACCCCACCAGCTGGTAGACACAGGTGCCCTGGAAAACGAACCTCCCACCATCGAAGGTCTCGTAGTGGGTGGCACCAGTGGCCGTGCAGGTCCCGTAGCTCCTGGGGTAGCACCCTCGGATGCCCCTCTCCACCCGGCACTCTTGGCCAGCCTGGCACCTCCCCTGGTGACACGTGGACCTCCTGGACCTCGCGTGGCAGACGCAGCGTTTGGTGCAAGTGGTGTCACCCCAAAATTCCTCACCGGGGCCGTAGAGGAGGCCTTCAAAGACGCATCCGCACTGGTCCTGGGGGATGCACTGGTGGGCATCCAGGACGAGGCCCTCCTGGCACTGGCAGGTCTCCAGGCAGGGGGTGGTGGGACAGGTGGGTGGGGTGGTGGCCACGTTGCAGGTGGAGGGGCAGGGGGAGCCGCAAGAGGTGTAGGTGCTGTTCTGTGGGCAGGAGAGAGCTGGGGAGAGGGGACATGTGGACATGGTGGGATGGAGGCACCATGGTCGTGGTGACATGGTGGTCTCGGTGGTATGAGACACTGAGGTCATGGTGGGGTGGGGACACCATGGTCATGGTGAGATGAAGGCACAACGGGCATGGTGGGATGAGACACCATGATCATGGTGGGATGGAGACACCATCACCATGGTGGGATGGAGACACTGTGGTCTTGGTGGGGTGGGGACACCATAGTCATGGTGAGATTGAGACATTGTGATCATTGTGGGACGAGGACACCATGGTGGTTGGGGTCACCATGGTCATGGTGCGACTGGAACACCATGGTCCAAGGACTCCTTGGACCTTCTGCATGGACATGTGTCTGGAGCCCACACAGACTTTCTAGACTTCCAGCAGAGACTTTTTGGAAGTCTCAAAGGACTTTCTGGACCTTTCAAACAGAATTTTGGAACTTGGGCTTTCTGGAGTTTCTGCTGGAACTTTCCACGTGGAATTTCTGGATGTTCCAACTTTCTGGAGTTTCCATGGACTTCCTGGAGTCTACATGGTGGTTGTGGGCTTCCTCCTTGGACGTGCTGCCATGACCCCTTCCATCTCATGACTCTGCACACTTGGAACCTACAGACCATCCAGGTCCACCCTTGGACACCCTCAAACCCACTCAGATCTACCTTGTGTGAGACCTCAGGAGCTCCCAGGAGAGACAAGCCACCCCATTGGTGCCCCTTTTAGGCCCAGTTGCTGCTCATCTCCACCCCATCCCACCTTAATGTCTCCTTAATTAAGGTCCAGGTGCCCCACCCACCCAACGAGGAGGATTTTTCCATCAACCAGGAGCTACTCACCACAATGTGCCGGTGTCCTCCAATCAGAAAGGGTTATTCCCTCCTCCTGGCAGTGGTGGGCGTAGGTCTCCAGGGCTTGACACAGCTTGGCCTGGAGGCCGTGGCTGGCGCAGAGGTCATGGACACAGTTCTCCAGGTAGACCTCAGGGTTGATGAGGCCGTGGCAGCTCTCGAAGGGTCCTGGCTGTTGGGTGAGCAACCCACACCACGTGTCCCCCTTGTAGGTGGCCTCCTCAGCTGGTTGGCACCTCCCACAGGCCCCATTGCAGTTGTCCTGGCAGCACCTGCTCTCATTGGCCACCTTCCAGCTCTGGCCAAGCTCCACCAGGTCCTGCACCAACTGACCATCAGGCTTGAGGGCATCATCCCGGGGGTCCCCGTTGCTGTTGCCACACAACCCGCACACTTTGCCTGAGAAGGTCCTGGGGAGTGTCACCACCACGTGGTCGGCCCAGTCATAGAGGACCTTCAAATGGAAGCTGGTCTGGAGCTGCAGGAACTTGCCCTTCTGCTGGAGGTGGAGCTTCCCATCAGCGAGGGAGATGGGGAGGCGGGAGCGGAGGTTGTTCACCTGCAGGAGGAAAAAAACCCATGAGAACCAAGCAAGTCACCTCAGGAATGGGGCAAAGAATTGAGGATTTGGAGCTTTGAGGTGTCTGTTTGCAAGAGATGGTGCTGCAGGAGCATCAGCCACTCATGGAGGTCAAATTGTAGGATCATTGAAGTTGGAGAAGACTTTTGAGATCATCATTAAATACATCTTCAACTCATGAATGACAAGTGGTAGAGTTGCTGATGTTGGAGAAGACCCGTAAGATCTTTGTAACTACATCATTGACTCATGGATGGCAAATTGTAGAGTCATTAAGGTTGGGGAAGACCCTTGAAATCTTAATTAACTACATCGACTCATGGATGACAAATGTTAGGGTCTTTAGGTTGGAGAAGACCCTTAAGGTCATTGGTAACTTCATCAGACTCATAAATGACAATTTTTTTAGTTTTTAGTTTGGAGAAGACCCCTGAGATCTTCATAACTATGTCATCAACTCACATTCAGTGAATCATGGAGTCGTTGCAGTTGGAGAAGACCCTTACGATCATTTTTAACAAGGTCATCAACTCATGTGTGACAAATTGTAGAGTCTGTAGTTGGAGAAGACCCTCAAGACCATCGTTATCTCCATCATCCCAGTGCAACCCTGCAGCATCCCTTTGGATCTGGTACCTCTTGTCCTCACCTACCCTCACAAACCCCTTTTCCAACCTGACCACCACCACGGTCAGGTCGTAGACGTGGACAGTCACAGAGCCAACAGGGGACAGTTGTGGGTTGTCCCTGTCCTCTTTTTGTACTTCGATGCTGAAGATGGGCAGGTTGGGGTCGGGGTCACAGCTCTTGGTCAAGACGTAGGTGCAGGTGCCCATGAAATCAAAGCTTTTCCCATCGAAGGTGTGGTAGTGGGGGCCACCAGAAGCCCAGCACCTGGTGGTCTCAGGGATGCATGTGGCATGGTCGTCCACCACCTCACACTTCTTGCAGCCCAGGTCTTTGCAGGAAAGCGAAGGAGAAACTGCAAAGCAACCAACAAAGGAAGGTTAAAAAAAAAAAACCACCTTGTGGATGGTCAGCATGGAGAAGACCTGGCCATGAGTTGACCCAACTTACTGGTGGCGCAAAGACCAGCGAAGCCAAACCCCAGGTAGCTCTCGTAGCCAAAGACCAGGAGCCCAAAGGGTGTCTCTGGGTGCTCAGCGCTCTTGATCTCCCCACTCCTTCTCATGGTGATCGTGGCCCAGGAGAAACTGGTGCCAGGGATCTCTTGCCAGGAGATGGTTCTGTCCATCTTCCGGTTGAGGGTGATGGCGCTGGCGTCGGCGCTTGGGGCGACGAGGGTCACGTGGTTGTAGAAGCCATTCAGGCTGCTGACGTGGTAGGAGGTGCAGTGGGTGGAGATGGGTGGGATGTTGAGGAGAAAAGGGTCTATCTTTGAGAAACCCGTGAAGAAATAAACCACCTGGAGCCCAAACGAAGCGCTGAGGTAAAGAGGAACCTTGCGGCCCATCTCAAGCTTGAGGACCTCCCCGGCCTCCACACTCTTGGTGTGAACCACCTCCCCCTGGCTGTAGGTGATGGAGCCTTTGTTGGCTGCCACCACGTAGGTGAAGTCCACATTGGTCTGCAGGGGGTTGGGGGGCACCACGTAGGTCGTCCCCCAGCTGACCACGGGCAGAAGCTGCTCCACCACAAAGTCACAGCCCGAGTTGATCTTCACACAGGTGTGGCCACTGAGAACGGCCACCACGTTGTCCGAGGTGACCTCGGTGCCCGTGAGGTCGTCGCTGCTCTGGAGCTGGAGGCTCTGGTAGGCATCTAAGGAGACTTGGAGGGTGGAGCCAGGTGGATGGGTCCTCCCTTCATAGTTGAGCTTGCCCTTGGGTAGGATGGAAACGGTGGCCGGGGTCTTCCCAGCAGCCACCACAAACTCCTTCAACCCTTCCTTCCTGTTGTCCTCCGGCGTCACCACGTAGTACTTGGTGCCCAGCTTCCCGACGGGCAAGACGGTGGTGGCCCCCACGGTGTATCCCTTGTAGTTGACCCAAGCCACCGAGATGTCCCGGGTGGCCTGGATCCAGATGACCTTGCGGGTGAGGTGGCTGCTGGCCAGCTCCAGCTCGCCGGGCACGCGGAAGGAG